AAAACTACAATGAATAGTCTTAAGAGACCTTTTTCAACCAAAAATATGAGATTTTTGATTTTTCATGAATGGTTAATTCATTTAAAACACATTACATATATATTTTTGTATTATCTTAGCATTTCTGTTTCCATTTCACAAATGTTCTTTCTGGCGACACCCAAATGCTGTATGTTCTTTTTAAAAAATCTTGATTAAAAGCTTGGAATATTTCCTGTGATATTTTGACATATAAAAGTAAAATAACATCTCATGTTTACTTTAAACACATTTTAATACAAATTGTGTACTTTAACAATATAATTAATAGATTAAAATATGCCTTATGCTCCCTCCTTACCTCACAGTCGACCTTGCTGATAAAAAAGAGGGCATGGCTCGACTGCAGCCCACTTTAGATGATGTGTGACTGTGACTTATAGACTTTCAATTAAAATACATTTGTGCATTTGGGTGGAGTCAGATGACAGTTAATCTGAATGGAATGACCCATATTGTCAGTGTCCTGTGCTGTTCCGCTGATAAATCCAAGTTCTTTTACTTTGTTTCATAGATGTAGTGGAGAGTTTTCTTCTACATTTTCTTTATTTACACTGTGGTTTGCAAACAGTGACACTGCTTCATTGGAAACATAAGGTATGCCTTCAATCTGTACAAGTAGAAAAGAAACAAATGACAATGACACCCATGTAAGTTTAATTCCGTGCACCCCAGGAGAGCATAATTGAACAATGCGCATGCATGCACCTGATTTTACAAAATGTCAAATAGCCCAATATATAACATTTGTGTTATAGCAGTATATATCTTACATTGATATTATGAAGACTGGAAAATGTATTGAAATCACTTAGTGCATCCTCAAAAAAGTAATTGCTGACACATTCTTAGAATTTGGCGTTCTTACAACCACGCTAACCTAAACTCTGTTTTCCCTCTTCACATCTGCCAAAGCATTCATTTCCATTTATCAATACACTTGGATTTACACACCAGTGTCCCCCACAAGACCATACTGTACATACACAGGCCTGATCAAAACACACACACGTGCATGCACACACGCACACACACACACACACACACACACACACACACACACACACACATTCATGTACTCCCTGCCTGCCCTCTGTAAATCCCAGGCTGCTCTGACAGGCCACATTAAGAAGAGCCTGCTCAGCATGAACACATCATAAAAGTGGACATGCAATTTCTGTTTTCACCAAATAGCCAGCCGAGCTCGTTCTGCATCTCTGATTTTAATACATTCGACAAGCAGCTTAGCAGCCAGGGAGAAAGAGAGCTCAGGCCCCAGGGAGGGAGGGCAAGTGACTGAGTGTATGTGTGGAAAAAGAGAGAGAATGACTTATGCCTTCCAGCACTGCTAAATCCATTTCTCCATCTGAATTATCAACTAGAATTTGATTAATATGCAAATTCAGAGGGAGGGGGGAGGGAGAACGTCTGGGATAATTCTCTTTGTGGATAGTAATTAATCACCGGTTAAAGTAAATTAATACATATATCAATTTTGTCAGGGACACGCTTAGTTCAATAGCCCGTAAAATTGAAGTTTGAAGTGTTAAGGGGCTCTACAGGAACGTTATAACTAAAACTTTCAAATCTGCCCTATTTAGTGATCAATCAAGCTGTGCCCTGCGGCAGAGGCAGCTCATTTCTTCAGCTCCGTACTGACACACACAGAAACACAGAGCACAGGCGCTTGCTTAACACACTCCTCAGTCAGAGCTGCAGCAGAGTCCCACACTCAGACTGTAGCTCACACTGCACAGCTAACAGCAATGCTTAGCATGGAATGGGACAGCACTGCACTGCACCTGACAGGACAATACAGGACAGGGCAGGACAACACTGCACTACACTGCACTGCACTGCACTGCACTGCACAGCCTAGCTCAGCACAGCAATGCATAGGACAGGACATCACTACACTGCACTATAGATCATAGCATTACAGGATGGCATAGCATAGCACTGCAAAGAGCAGCACTGCACAGGACAGGTTTATTTCTGACTGAAGAAGGCTGCTGCTGCTGCTGCTGTTGATGATGTTGATCAGAATAAAAATGACTGGACTGCCTGTGCTCATTTGACAGCTATGGAAATAACTGCTAAAACTATGGAGTATTATAATAACATTACTGTGTGTTATCATTATTATTACTATTGTAATAACCAATAATGCCCAACAATATAGTAATATGTTGTTATTCTTGTTAATAATAAACAGTATGTCACATTAAAAATAATCCAACATTATTCTTGTTGTTGTTCTTCCTCTTCTTTTTATTATCATTGTTATCATTGTTGTTATTATTAATGTATAATCTATTTTTTTTCTAATACCTCTGCTAATCTAAATCCATATGAAGCAGTAATTATGCCATTTTGAAATTGAATGCTACTTTTATTTTTGTTGTTATTCACCAGTTGCTTAAATTACAGGATGCTGATATTAATCACAAAAACATCCTCCAAGAAATACTGTTGGTCTTTTGTGTGTGTATAAAACAAGACTGGCACTGAATCTGAAAATTGATTTTGATGATACAGTTATTTTGGTTTTAGTGATGTCTTGATGCAGCAGTGTTTTACATTATTATTATTATTATTATTATTATAAATAATATGCTAATAAATAATATCATTATAAAACAGTGATGATGTTGGATGATAATTTAAATAACAATAAGTGACAAGCTAAAATGTACAAAGTATAAAAATAAAAAAATAAATAAAACTGCTACATTATTGTTATCATTATCGGTATTATTATTAATAATAATAATAATAATAATAATAATAATACTGTTAAAGCTGCAAGCTTGAAATGCACTTGGCGTAATGATGCTGAATATTCCGCTTGAAGATAAATATATTTGTCATTGTGTTGGCAGGCCCCAGATGGTGGCAGCCAGTTGTTTAGAGGTCCAGCAGGAAGAAAGGGAGGGGGAGGTGTCAGGTCCAGTTGTTTAAGCAGGGGGCCATGCATCAAACTTCAATTTTCCGGCCGATTGAATAAATGTCTCTCTCTCTCTCTCTCTCTCTCTCTCTCTCTCTCTCTCTCTCTCTCTCTCTCTCTCTCTCTCTCTCTCTCACTGTGTGTGTGTGTGTTGCAGTGATTGGCCCACATCTCCCCTCTAAAGGAGCACACGTTTTCCAGAGCAGCTAAAACACTCATAGAATGTCCCTACTGTACACACAGACACAAAGTCTACTGTGTGGTAGATTAAATGACGTAACAAAGCTATAATTTTCAACATACTAATGGCAGAACCATTACTATGGGGAAACAGGTATTTTCATCTTCTTTATTGATTAATTATGAATTTGTGAACAGAAAAGCACCTCCTTCTCCACTGTGACATTTCCTCAGTCAGAGACTTCCATTTTGGAGAAATAGCTAAGAAAATCCCAAACTTCCTCACATAAACCAGACAAGAGAAACTACCAGTCCTCCTGGGTGCAGGGACAACAACTCCTTTAGCAGCTAGATATGTATGTGCCTGCCACAGCCTTAGGGATAAACAACTAATATCATATCTCCAAAATTAGGGGGTTGTAGATATTAAGTAATGTTATGAATTGTATAAAAAGTGGAGTTTACTACATTGTACAGCAATCAAAAATGGAATGCAGCACTATAATATGAAACACTTGTATATTTAATATGTATATGCAATAAATGAATGTTTATAATATGGAATTTTATTTTTCTGTTGACTTTTTTGTCAACTTTGGCAATAACATATTTTTGTTAATGCTAATAAAGCCATGTGAAGTGGATTAATGAGCAATACAATTCATAAAGTTTCTCAACTAAGACTGTATTTTAAAACACAAGCTAACTGCATCTGTTTGAAAGGTTCTAAGTGGATCATTATTATCGTTTATATTATCATCTGTTTAGATTATTTCTATAAAAAGTAGGAGGAAAAGGACATCATTCCAAAATATTTTTGTTTTGTAAGAAGTACGCTAATATAACTGAGCAGTGATGAAGACGGTGACATGCAGTTAAAATCTCCGGAGAAAGGGAAACTTTTAAAAAAAACAAACAAATATATCTACAATAATTCAAATATATTTTACCAATAGTCAAGTTGTAGTATCGCTTTATTAGGGTTTTGAAAAAAATGTTTCAATGAGTATTTAGTTACACACACACACACATATATATATATATATATATATATATATATATATATATATATAAATATGCGAAGTTCTGTAGCTCCAGCTGATGTAGCAGAGAGCAGATGAAGTGTGTGATGTGATTGAGAGCTCTGTTATCTTCAAGTCAATTATTTCAATGCTCCGACCAGCCCACTGAACTACATTCACATTCATAGCCGTGTTTTAACACAGCGGTCCCGCAGACCAGCGAGTGTGTCTGCTTTATGTGCGACAAAAAGGGGGCTGCATTGTTGAAAAGACGGGTTGAGTCAATCCATCAAAGTGACGCGTAATTGAGAGGAGAATCTTTAAACCATATGGCCTCTCAAAAACTCTCCTCTGGCCGCCTTTGTGCGCTGAGACCCGCCGGCCCATGCAGCACGGAGAAACCCTTGTCTCCGTATTGCGCGCTGCTGGAGAGCGGTCCCCGGGGAACACACACACACACAAACACACACACACACACACACACACACACACACACACAGACGCACTCTTCAGGGCCTCTCCGCTCCAGATTGTGTTTCTCACAGAGGAAAAATGAAAATACACGCAGAAGGTCAGGAGGCATGTTGCTGTTGTAAATGCATTTGACAAACGCCGCTGTTTCTGCGCCACAAACCTCCAAAACGAAAGCTCTGACACGGAGAGGAGAGTAAAAAAAAATACAAGACCAAAATAATTCCATAATTATAGGCCTACTTCATATAAATGTATTCCATAGAAATAATTTAGGCTATAAAAATCTGCAAAAGGCTGAATATTTGAAAGGTTTTTTTTTTTTTATTTTACATCATCATTATAGTTTACATTACAATTTGTACAGTTGTATGCGTTCTGTACATTCTAAAGGCACTTAAATGTTGTACAAAGCATTATAAATATATTAAACTGTGATTTATAACAAGCTGTTGGCAACACATTCTCTGTGATTATCATTTCAGAACAATTAATATATAAAAAAGCTGAAAACAGTCGGCTTAAGCTTATAAAAATGATTTGTAGCCTTTTCAACCATTTCATAATCAACTCAAATGAAACATGCGGTGAAATATTTCAGTGATTTTAACCATAATAAGCACCTGCATGTTTGCTGCCTTGCCTTTTCCCCCTGAATGTCTCTCTGTAAGCTGTCACGCGTTTTGCGTGCCCGTTCCACGGCAGGATGCAGCGGGCCTATGGCTTCTCTCAAATCAAGCCGCTGAGACTGTTGTTTCTGGATAGTTTGCTGCATGTTCGTGCGCAAAGGATGAAATCCTTGTTTAGCCAGAGTTTCTGTCTGCAAACATCGCGTTATTTGGCACTTCACACGGTGACCGCTGACATAACTTTAGTCATCCACGTCTATTTCCTCATCTTCATCCTCTGAGCAACACTTGCTGCTCAACCGGTCTGTGTACCACGACGATGCGGGGGAAGGAGGCGACATGTGCGCTCTGCTGGAGGCGAAACTCTCTGTGGTGTCCTGGTGGGACCTGGAGGAGACTGGGTCGGGTTCGGTGTGTCCTGGCGCGGAAACAGTCCCGCCGCCCATCCCTCCGGCCGCGCACTTCTCTAGCTCGGCCAGCTTGGAGAGCTTCTCATAGGCCACAGCGCCAGCGACCTTGGCGGACTCCACGTCCGCTTTCATCTCCTCCAAGTCCCGCTTGAGCTTGGCCCGCCGGTTCTGAAACCAGGTAATGACCTGCGCGTTGGTCAGACCAAGCTGCTGGGCGATCTGGTCCCGATCCGCCGGGCTCAGGTACTTCTGATAGAGGAAGCGCTTCTCCAGCTCGTAGATCTGGTGGTTGGTAAACGCCGTGCGGGACTTCCGCCGCTTCTTAGGAGTGTTCCTCTGGCCGAAGAGCGTCAGACCGTCTCGGCCTAAGAGAAAGGGACGCATTCGATCATATAGGGTGGACTAACACGTTCAAAAAACGTGAGCCAACAAAAACTTCAAAACTGCTCCACTATAAATCTGCGCCAGTAGAATAACTGATGAACGACTGATTATTTTTTGCCAAGTCAGTATGAAGAATTAACAGATTAATTTCAGATAAAACTTATCCACTTTTCCCGCTTTATAAATGTTATTTATTAAAACAGTTAAAACGCAAAGGGAATTACTTATTGCATACTGCTACATTAGATATTAGATTGTATGTGCATTAAACAATGACATTGAATTAAAAAAAAAAGATTTAGATTAACCTATACGATTATTTACCTTTGCCTGAAAATAAATACACGGGGCTTTATTTTAATTTTAATTTTTTTTCTAATGCAATAATGTTTCACATGAGTTTAGCATTTCACTTGCTTATATCGAATAAACGCAATTAGATCCAAAGTTACTGCATAAAGCAAGTTGCAACTTAAGTTGCAATTACATGTGTATATATTAGAACAATTTGGCAACTTGCTTTGTTTATATATATGTATATATATATATGTACGCACGCGCCCATGTGTTTCTGCCTAAAGTGGGCTTCAGTTTTTCCTCTTCATTTAAACTTTAAACCAGTTTTTAGAAAATGAAATATACCTACTGCTACAGTAATGCCAGTACAAATGGTGAGCGTGCTAATAATTTCCATAAAAACAAGCTTTTACCCTCGGCAGCCTGCAGGACGCTGACCTCCAGGCCCTTGAAGGTTTTGCTGGCCAGCTCCTCCAGCGCGCAGAGCGGGGAGGTTTGACTGAGCAGAGCCCGGCCGGACAGGCTGTGACCCGCCGAGGTCAGCTTCTCTCCGGGAGATATGTGGTGCGCTGCTCCGCTCAGAGAGTAGCTCCTTCTCACAGACGGCTTGTTGAGGATGTCCTCGATGCTGAAAGGCGTCAGCGGCTTGTTGGAGTTGGCCGGCGGCGGCAGCTGATCCAGCGGACTGCGCCTCCGCTCCTCCAGCACCGCTGGGTATTTGGAGTCGTCCTTAGAGGTCATGGCGGCTCAGCGGGTCACACCCGACTGTGGTAATTTAAAGACGAGCGATTCAAAGCGGTGACGGGCAGACAGGCTGAGGTAAAGTGGAGCAGAGGAAGAACAGGACAGTAAAGATAAATCCGCAGCTCGGATCACAGGTGTTTCTCCAGCCGCATGTTGGCCGCCGAGCTGCACGCTGCAGGGACACTTGTGACTTCCAGTCCCTCCACGTCTCCGAGCCACTTTTCCAGGGTGACGCACAACGAGGCACGAGCCGAACCCATCCGGTGGACGATGATGCACCAAAAGCAGCGGCGAGTGACCACCAGTAACAAGTTATTACTGACTGGAAGGCAATCAGTTATTTCTCTCTCTCTCTCTCTCTCTCTCTCTCTCTCTCTCTCTCTCTCTCTCTCTCTCTCTCTCTCCNTCTCTCTCTCTCTCTCTCTCTCTCTCTCTCTCTCTCTCTCTCTCTCTCTCTCTCTCTCTCTCTCTCTCTCTCTCTCTCTCTCTCGCTGCAGCCGGATACCGGAGAGCGGTAATTAGAGGGTACGGCGGAGAGGAGGAGTCCAATTAGAAAGTAGAGCAGGCCCACTTAACACTTTCTCTCTAAAATTAGATAATTTGTCACAAAAACAAGCAAATGTTTCTCTCCACATGATATTATCCTCATTTGCGTACACGGCATAATTGGCACCGCGTGTGTGATCACCGGGCGAGCTCGTGCCAATTTGGATAAATTCGCTCTGCGTCAATCTTCAGGCCAATTACACTCGGAAACACAAAAGATCAACTCCCATCACGCAGCTCATCGACAAAATAAATACATAAATAATAGGCCTAATAATAATAATAATAATAATAATAAAATGACTGCAAGTGGAAAATGGGAGAGCGCACTGTGTGGAGAGAGAGAGCATATCCTCATGATAACACTGGAGGACACTGCAGGCAGAGTGACAGAGGAGGGCATCACCCAGGCCTAAGCACACCTCCACTCCCTCTCCCTCCAAAAAGCCCTGTGCAATAACTCAGTTACAAAGAGCGTGGGCTCCCCGGAGCGCAGCTCCGCACAGACTCTGCACGGAGGACCAGCTGCTGATCATCAGGACACACATATAAGGACACATTTTATTTGAGCTTTCTAAGAAAAATACCAGTAACATATTTAACGGTTTCTTCCTTTTAACTTTAATCCGTCCAATTTTACAGGCAGTAAATAAGCTCTATAATACAAACTTCTTTTTTTTTATTCTATAAATGCTAAAAATTAATTTGCATATGAAGCAATATATGAAATAAACTCATTCTCTATAAACCATCCCATATATTAACTTTCTACTCTATAAGCATGTCCAGGGGCATTTCTTTGTTGTGACGACACTGGGGGCTGCACGGGGTCCAGGGGGATCCTACCTTGGGATTTTTTTCTTATTTTTTGTTTTTGTTTGATGAACGAGCTCTGTGATGCTTCTAATACATTAATCACTTATTCACTCAAAATTACAAATTATTCAGAATGCTGCTGCCAGGGTTTTAACAAAAAATAAAAAGAGAGACCATATAACTTTGGTTTTACGTAACCTACACTGGCTCCCAAAATCTTTTAAAATTGATTTTAAAGTCCTTCTATTGGTTTTTAAGGCTCTTAATGGCTTTGCCCCCTCTTATATCATAGACTCCCTATCACCTTGTGCCTCTCCACAAACCCTGACATCCCCCACAGCTGCTCTTTTAACTGTTCCAAAAACCTTTGGTTGGCTTCTTTAAGCAACTATGTCCCAAAAATATGAAACAACCTGCCTTTATATATTAGACCTGCTGGCTCAGTGAACAGTTTTAAATGCTGACTCACAACATATCTTTTCAATGTAGCCTATAACTAGCAGCTAGTTGTTTTCATATGTTTAATGTTTATTTGTTTTTGATTTTTTTTTTATTAATTAATTAATTTATTCATTTATTTATCCTTTTAATAAAATAAAATTTAAAAAAGTTGAATGTGTGCATTTATGTTAAAAGTGGTTAAATGTATTATTCAACTACGTATGTATGTAAGTATGAACAGAATGACAGATTATTGGATCCAGGTTTAAAAAAAAAAGAATTATTAGGCCTATTCTTATTTTTGAAACATATAGCCTATATGTAGCCTATATATGTTAATATCAGGGGGTATTTATAAAAGATTGACCAGGCCTAAAGATTTCACTGATCAGATCAATGTTGTTCCCATATTTTAACATATTTGTGTTACAATGTTTCAGGAAACAGAAGGAAACTCAAATTTCCAAGACAAATGTTGATACAATTTAAAGTTAGACTATTCAGTCTCATTCCAGGACTCTCAAAATGGAAACAGATGCAAAGGCCTGACTGCAGTTACCAGTTACACACAGCACTGCCTTGCCCAACATATTAAACATTTATTTCTCACCACTGCTACAATCACTGCAATACACAGCAGTAATAAAGTACTAGTAATAGTTCATCATCACTATTATTAATAGCACTAAGTGCAATTCAGCAGGTCATTCAGTTTTTTAGGCCAGAATTCATTTATTTAGAATTTATTCCAGAACATCAGAAATAACATTTAATCTATAGTTATTAGAAAAACAAAAATATACAATTTGACAAAAAAAAAAAAAGAAATATAACCCTTAATGTTCACTTACTGACTCTCTCTGCAGCTTGGTCTTCCACTCTTCGTTGATAGATGTTTACACAGTGGCGTAAGGAAGTTACGACAGGCCCCAGTGCACACTAATAGTGCATGCTAACATGCATATATTGTCTTGACACAAACAGAGACTTGACATTGGACTACATCAACATAAATACTACCCAGCAATCATCATTGCATATCTGACAAAGAAAGGGAGGAACTGATTATTTAATTAAATAGTTTTTATAGTTCATTTATAGATTTTATAGCTTATGTAGAAATAGCTATCATTTGTTTCAGACAGATATTCGCAATTAAAAAAAATATATATAGAAACTGATGGACCTTCAACAAAATTGGTGATAAATATGAATTCAGCCAATTTATGAAATGGGTAGTTCATCCAAATTACTAAGATAGACAGATAGATAGAAAGATAGATAGATAGATTTTGTCCATTGGTCGCCCTGCAGCTAAACATTTTGTAGCGGGCCATAAAAAAGATGAATGAGTGATTAGGGGAGTTTAGGGAGGCCATCTGCAGTCACAGCCCTTTGGAGCCCTGACAAAGTCCACGGACAGTTTTATTTCGTAATTTACTCCTGCTTTGGTCATGCTGTGTCATTTGATTATACGCCTTGTCTTGGATCTTTTCAGAGCGGGCCTCCCGCCTGCACCCTTGCCCGTTTCATTCTCCATCAGTGAGCTCAACATCCATGCTGATGGATGTGATGTCTTCATCTGATACCCGCTCCCAAATGGAGGAACATTCCCTTTTCCACGTAGGTTTTAATTTCATCTTTGGGAAGTGTAAAGTGCCGACCTGGGGCCCCTAGCTGCTCTGCTGTAAATATGGACCCCTGTGGCTCCACAGACCCCCACTAACACTGCTAACATTAAATACCTGCTAAGATCTTTAAAAAGAAGCGGGCTTAGTTTTCCTGTGTTTGTGACTGTCTGCCTTCAATGGCTAACTGCAATAATAACAAATGATATTTAAACAGGAAGAGATTCAGCTGAAGTTTAAACTTTATCCAAGGCAAACTTGTTCAGATCTCCAAATCTAAAACAAACAAATTAACAGAAATCAAGATGATTTTGTTGATTATGTTAGGTTTGTGAATAAAAAACATGCCGTATGTATTATTATTATTGTTATTATTCATAATAATAACTTCAACTATTTCTTCCTTTAAATTTTTGATATTTTCCTCTGTCCTTTATTAAAAGCCAACTTGTCATAATGTATATGTACTATAAATCATTTTCAGGAAGTTACAATATGTAACTGTAACATTTTACAATAAATTACAGTATTATCACCTCACGGGCTTTTACTGTGATATTTAACCAAATTCAGAATTTCATTGTGAAATTCATGCAGGTAAATATTGTGATTTTACAGAAGTACACTGCTAAATCACAGTAATGTAGACCTTAATTGTGAGATTACAGTCAAGTAACTGTAGGGAGCACACTGAGCACAGTAATTAGATGAAGTTACTGTGAACTGTAACTTCACAGTAGGTTGTAACTTGTAAATGTATACTACATTGTACTGTTATATCACATTAATACGCAGGCATAACAATTTCACAACAATTTACTGTGAAAACAGTTTTTAAAAACTGGATGCCAGTGATTTACAGTAAATATACAGTCAATTATCTTACAGTGTTCACCTTTACACAAACAAATAGGGAATGACATGACAATTCAGAAAGTACCCCAGTACAGGTGTGATGTGGTCTGTTTTCTGAGTATCAGTTAGAAGTCTAGCAGCAGCATTTTGTACCAACTGCAAGCAAGATAAGGAGGACTGGCATATACCCACATACAGAGCATTACAGTATTCCATACAAGAGGAAATTAGGGCATTCATGACTATCTTCAGGTCATGAAATGAGAGGATTTGTTTGAGTTTGGCAATGGTTTGAGTGTTGAATTTTAAAACTGAGTCAAAGATGACACCAAGATTTCTGGTCTGGGCATGAAGGTTAGGTGCCAAGGGTTTGGTTTGCTATACCCTGGATGGAGTTTAAGGGGCCAAATAAGACCAGTTCTGTCTTACTGTCATTCAACTGAAGACAGTTTTTTTGCCATCAAAGATTTCACATTTTGGAGGCAGTCAAGGAGGGACCTAACTCTGTCTTTATTCTTATTATCCAGTTTTAAAGGGGGGTAAAGCTGAGTATCATCTGCATAGCAGTGACATATTGTATTACTGAAGAAGGAGCCTAAAGGGAACACACATATGATGGGTCCCAAAATGGAGCCTTGGGATACACCATAGGTGATGGGAGCAGCAGATGAATACATGTTTCCAGTTTTGACAGAGAAGTATCTATGGTAAATGGTAAATGGACCTGCATTTGTATAGCACCTTTCTAGTCTTCCGACCCCTTGAAGCCCTTTTTTACACTATGAGTCACATTCACCCATTCACACACACATTCATACACTGGTGGCCGAGACTACCATACAAGGTGCTGTATCACCTGTTCTTAGTTTTTAACATACTCACACACAGAAGGAAGCATCATTGGGAGCAATTTGGGGTTCAGTATCTTGCTCAAGGATACTTCGACATGCAGACTTGAGGAGCCGGGGTAGCTGTCAAACCACCGAAGGGCGCTACCATGGATACCGACCTGGCGC